AAGTTGCTAGAGATCGTTCCGAATTGAATGAGCCCTAGATCAAAATTTTCGATGCCCTTGGACAGAAGTTCCAAAAAAAGGATCTTGTTACCCAGACTATAACAAGTCTGAAGGCCTTCTAGATATAAGGAATATGATATTTCCATTTAGGCATCCCTGTATAGTAGTTATCAGTCAAACGGAATAAGTTTGACACTGAATAAATATGAGTGTGTTAACATAACGCGCAAGCACGTCGAATGGAATTTTCAGTTGTGCATTTTTCAACAACCACATTTTTCAATGCGCAATAACTTAGTAAACGGAAACAACAACTCCAACACCAACTGCACTGCGACTGTTGCCACATTGCCTTTGATAATGTCTATCGCAGTAGTAGACGAAACATCAGGAACAAAAACCTGCAGACCATGCCCAAAATACCCGGAAAATAGCTTTCTCACAGTTATCGCAGGCCGTGAAAGTTTATATCTTTGACAATATATATTATTTATCATACCGCCTGTCAGTCTGACATCTTCAACTAGTTTGACAACTTTGAATCCTTGTGGTTTTTCATGGAAATGTACAATTAATTTTTTGTGATGAAAGTACGTATTATTTCCAATAATCATATCATGCAGGTGTCAATTTGATGTCTCCTATCAATATACTCTGCTCAACTCACCTTGAGTGTTGAAATGGAAAAATGATAACCAAGACAAAAATCATCGAATGATATTGATTATTTAGTTATTAAATGAACATTTCGTGATCAGTCAATATCACTCGGTATTTTAAAATAAAATATACCGGTAACTGAAAGCTATATGCAGTTTGACGCTGGCACAACGCCTTGGAAAAAGTTGTGAAGAAATTAAATACACACCTATACACACCTGCCTACATTTAATACGGTAGATATTGGCAACGTTGTTAGGATTCCCGATAATCTATTTCATGTATGAAAATATACTCACTGTGTAACGGTCGATCACGCTACGGTGTTGGGTTATCACTGTGACAGCCCAAGAATTCGGCTCCGGCTAACTGAGTGAAGACGGGAGTGGGGAAATATGCAAGTTAAATTTTAATTTTGGGCGCCAGGTAATTTTACCCCTTCCGAATACTTGTCTGATGTTCCTAAATTACCAAATGAACTTAAGCNAATCTATTTCATGTATGAAAATATACTTATTGGACTCCCTATTATCAATCAGATGTCTGATGATGGTGTATACTGAGGAGTTCTTATGAATGTTTGACGGACGGACGCTCTACTATCGAATCAATAGTGAACTCAATTTTTTTATGGTGGTAAAAATGTCATGCCAGCCTACAAAAATCAGATTTCTAGTACTTACCATGAAATATATTCGGTAAATTCTTCAAATTATGATGGACGCCCTATCAGCGCATTCAATGTATGGATGCCATATTGATATCGGGATGTATATATATATATATATATGCCTTTCAATTGAAAAAATGTTATAATGCTCAATTTTTTTCAGATCATGAGGCGTGTAGGTGGCTTTCAGCTAACTCTTGAAGCTCTGGATCTGATAACAGTGGTAGTACCACCTGCCCTACCAGCCGCCATGACTGTGGGAATGTTTTATGCTCAAAGTAGATTGAAAAAGAAACAGATTTATTGCATTTCACCTAGAAGTATAAATGTATCTGGTTCCATCAATTGTGTGTGTTTCGATAAGGTTGGTATTTCCTTTTTCCAAAAATTTAGTTAGTTTTATTGAAGGGTTTTCCTTTTAATTGAATATATTTTCAGACAGGAACTCTAACAGAAGATGGATTGGATATGCAGTGTGTTGTTCCAGCTAATAATAAACATTTTAAATCAGCCGTGACAAATGTTGAAACGCTTCCCTATGACGTTTTGCTTTTTGGTCTAGTTTCTTGTCATTCATTGACTATAATCGATAAACAGATAGTTGGAGATCCATTGGATTTGAAGGTATGTTGTTAACATAATGCATTCTATTTGAAAGTGGTTGGGTGTTTCTTGAATCTTAGAGGTTCAGATTTCCGCTATCCAGAAAGGGTCAACAGTTTTAAAATCTATATTTTAAAGAATACAAATCATTGTAACCTGAAATAGTAATGAATTGATGAATGGGTTAAACAATAGGTGAAATGTGAATAATAAACATAGTTGAAAAACAAATGAATATGGAGAAATTATGAAATGTTCAAAAAATGAGAATAAAAATTAGGAAAAAACATTTTAAATCAAACTACCTCACGGCATTCTAATTGTTAGACTCCACAATGGAAACTTCACAAAATAGCTTGGTTTGAAGTCATTTTTATTTTTTGCATTTTAATAATTTCTTTAAATTTTGTATTACTTGTATAATATTAACATTTCACATATTATTCAACCCATTTATTAATTTATTTCCATTTCAGGTCACAATAATTTATCGTTCTTTTATGTTTTATTGATTTTTTTATTCATTGTTTATTTTTTACATTGTTCGATATTTTTTCTCTTTTTTTATTAGCTTATCCAAATATTTCTATATATCATTCATGTGTGTTAGGAATCACTTGTTAGGAATCACACGTTAAAAGGTAAGACCTCGTTAGTCCTTAGCTCGCACAAGTTTCTCAACTTCTGAGAGTTGTCGTTCGTGTATAGGCGACAGCTGATTAACGGAAAAACAGATTTTAAAACAGATTTTATTTCTCATAGATTTCAAATCTGAGACAAAGGAAAACTGCACCTCTAACATTCATGAGTTTAGTGGCTTCAATAGGCTCTGACTAAAGAGGTAGTCAATACAGTTACAGTTTTTTCGTCATTGAAACAAAAACTGATGGAACTATATAATGAATGTTATGAAATTTGCAGAATGCGGTTGTTGGAATATTCAACTACTGAAATAATTCAGAAACACATTTCTCATCTTGGTATCATTTTTCATTTCTATGTTATATTTTTTTCAATTTTTATATATTGCCCACGTAAAGTTTGGAATGAATTCATTTTTGCCATATTCATGAGAAGTCCTCAAAAAGGTCCATTTATTAATTTAATTCGTTATTCATTTTGATTTCTTGTGAATGGTAATCATTTTCAAAAACAAATCAATACATCTGTCACTAGTAAATCTTTGAATACTCTTGAAAATCATCAAATTAAATGTTCAAATTGTCTGCTATTTACCACTTGGCAATGACCTAGGCAATACTAAAACTATCACAAAACATTTAAAATCATTTCTGGTGATATATAATCAATAAAGGTGATGGAAAATAATTTCATGAAGATGACAAGATAAATAGATGAGTATTATTCTGATCATTCACAGTACTGGGCAGGCGGTCCTTGCTTGAAGACAAACCAAGACAGTACTTCATCAAAAATCACTGCGCAAATATGAGTGAGAGACACCCAATTTTGCTTGCCAAGTTTTTATATTGGTGTTGGTGGTTTTATCAGTCTTCAAAACTGCCTTCATTCGTTAGACAATTTTTCTGCCTGTAGATATTTCCTTCTTGCGGGAAATTCACCATTTTTGTAGCGGATTCATATTAAAAGTAAAATAAGATGTAAATATATTATATAAATATATTTTCTTCTATAAAATATTTTAATATTTTTTGTAGAAAAACGGCCAATGCTTCATTTCATTACAACGTAGTGAATGCTGACGTGCTAAAAGCATTTATATATTTTTTTATAAAAGATTGTCGTTTTTTATTATAGTTTCTGGAACACGAACATTATTTATGTGATACTTTTCACTGTTAGGGCTACTTTCATTTGATTTCTGCTAGTGATAAACTCTGCAGCTCTCATTGAAGATAGTCCATATTGCAGCCTAAACTGAAAAGCATTATAAAGCGTTAACAAGTGGTTTTCAGTGAGAACAATTCTTGAGTTTTTCAATGTATATGCCTCATAAACTAGAAACTACCCAATGGGCTTGTTTCATGATTTTTTGTTTGTAGTTCACTTGATAGAAATTTTAAATTGAAAAACAGTGCACTTTGTTTCATCACTCTAAGTACCTTAGTTTTCCCATAATTAATTATTAAGAATCGAATGTGGTAGGGTGGTGACGTCACGCCCCTATTCCCGCTTCTTGTTCGATTGACCAATAGGAGCAATAGAAATACTTAACATAGCCAAATCCTAAAAATTACAGAGCATATAATTATCAATTTAATTATGGAAGTGTATATGAACCCGTCAATGTTTCAATTAATGAAAAATTCTCAACATGGAATAAAATGTACACGAAAAATCTTGTTTGGAAATAAGTTCTATATCTAAAATCAGTACACAAAGTCGATAGATCACAAAATATTTACCTAAACTATGATTTTATGCATTATTTATTATTATACAGTTATGAAAATCAAAAAATATAGCAAACTGGATTAAAGAATGATTTCAAATATTCAATTTATTCTACAATCCTCAATCTGTACAACTGCAATTTATTAGTAAAAAAAACGATTCCTACATACACACCTCTTTCTAATATAGCTACTAAATTCAANATGAATGATCTCTGGAAACTTCTTAAATTCATAAACACACTTTTTGATTTGATATTTGTGAAACATTCATTACTGTGGTATTTATAATGGTTTATTTTGAATGTGAATACAAAAATGATTTAAGCCAATTCAATGGGGCACTATCTACTTCATACTTTGAAAGTTTGTGAATTGAAAGATTGAATTGTTCTGCTGAGATCATAAAAGAGGTCAAAAAGGGAATCTGCCTCAATATGATTTGAAGTATTTTCAAAAAATGAGGAAACGCCAACAGAGGTTGATTTGCTTTCACGAAAACCATAATGAAATATTACTATCAAGTTGCTTTAAGAATCTGTCTAGGAAACAGTAGTCAAATACATTATAAAAACACGATGGGGCAGGTATTGTAGACCATCTTCCATAAAATTCATACTGAAGAGATTCCAGTTGATTGGTCAATATTAAGGTTGTGAGATATTCAAGATGAAAGATTCCCACCTTAATGACAGCAGCGTTCTTCCCATATGAGGGCATCTGTGAGTCAGCTCTACCTGAGTTGCATCAGATTCAGTCTTGAAAGGCATCAGATACTTTTTTTGTATATTAGGCTTGCCTACTTAATAAATAAATAAATGAAGAATAGGCTTGGCAAAATGAATTTTCTCCAATCTTGATGTGCATACTGAATAGTTATGTTTTTACATTAGTATAAAAATGGTCAACATTTTTTCCAGATGTTTGAAAGCACCAAATGGGTGATGGAAGAATATGAAGTAGCTGACAACAACAAATTTGATATGATCTACCCAACAGTTCTGAAGCCACCCAAAAATCGGCCAAATGAACACCAGAACATAACCGATGACGTCGAAATTGGTATTATTAAAGAGTTTCCTTTTTCGAGCAATTGTCAGAGAATGGGCGTAATTATAAGACGTCTTGGAGGTACACACTTCGAATACTACTGTAAAGGATCTCCGGAAATGCTTCTGAATTTTATTAATCCAGACACCGTTCCTGTTAATTTTTCTGATATTTTGGAGTCTTACACCGAAGAAGGGTATCGAGTTATTGCATTGGCACATAAGAAGTTGAAAATGTCTTATGCCAAGGTGCAAAAAGTGCAGAGAGAGGCCATAGAAAAAGATTTAGACTTCCTAGGGTTCATTATTTTGGAGAATAGATTAAAACCAGAGACAACTCCTAGTATACAAGAACTAAATGATGCCGATATTAGGGTCATTATGGTTACAGGTGAGATTTGTTTTTCAATAATATGATATATCGAAAACAGATACCAGTTCCATGAACTAATTAATTTGCTCTGTATAGTTTATGAATTTGTATAAGTTAAAAATATAGCGAAAATCTTCATTTGCACATTGCCTGTCAGTATACGAGTATTTATATGCAATGAATGTACCTCAGTTCTGAATTATCTTGAAAAAATCAGTACATTTTATAAAGGATTTTCTGTCTAAAAAGTATTCATCATAAAAAGATTTGATGTTAGTATCAATAGGAAAGGATGTCCAGTTAATTTTTTTGATGCAAGCAAGCCAAAACCTATTTCGTAACTTAACAGAATCTTTTATATTTGGAAATTCAAAACTAAAATAACATACATTATGATCCAGACAGGCTCCTCCCTAATTTTTTAGGCATGGATGGCGTGACTTATTCAAGACTCTTGTGATAGGCTAGGGCAATGCAGTATTTTCTATAATAAAAGTTAAACAATCTGTTGTTACGATGTTTTTATATGTCTCAAAGGTATAAAAACAGCTGAATAATTTTCAAGAAACCTTTCAGAAAAAAGTGTAACCAAATTTAAACTTGACCATTACTTCGATAAGCATAGCAATGTCAAAGAAATTTTTTTGAACAAAAATCCATATTTTCCATCATGGATTTGGAAAGAGTAGATATGGTCTGGACCACTTCCATGATCATAATCTTGACCTTGACCGTGGAAGCCATCTTGACATTCCTGTGGCCATCGATCTAATGGCCAACTCAAATCTGATTACACAATAAAATAGCCATGGAAAAATTCTTAAACTTTTTTCTACGGTGCCTTCCTTAGAAGTTATTCTGCTGTTTCCATATTTTTGTAATATAGTAATATTTTCAAGTAGCACTTTATTGTGAGATTTTCGCGGATTTCCTTGAAAAATTATTTAAAAAAATAGATATAAACATGTATATACCGAGGGATTCAGAAACTTTGCCAAAAATAATGTTCAAAGGTTGATCTTTTCGAATTGTTGTTTGTGGTTTCATCCCGTGTTCTATGTTTTTGATCCTCACAAGGATCATACTCATGATGTTTCGGCAAAGTCTCATTCGTCATCTTTTAGACTCGATCTAGGTCCAAAATACAGACATCACCATATATATAAAAATCAATAGATTTTCAGGTGATTAACCCTAAAGAGTATGTGAAAAAAGAAACTTTTGTGATGATACTTTTTGTTCAGAAGACTACCTTTATGAAGAAAATACTATTATTGAACTCAAAAGTATTCAACACACACTCTTATAGAGAAATATTCCAGCAAAGAAATTACACCTTCAGCTAAGTAATCCATATGATAGTACTAAAACATGTTGGGCTCAGCTTATCTAGTTTCCTATAAAATTGTGTCCTTTGAAAAAAAATTGAAAAACTGTTTTCAAGTGTTGAATCCTTCAGTGTCTCTGTCAAATTACTATTCAACATGAAAAATTAAACAAGAACCTCTGGGGTAAAATAAATTCATAATAAGCACTGTACTTCATCTCCAAAACTTGCCGACTTGGCAAAATCTTCTGAAAAGAGGAAATTTCTCAATACAATTGTATTTGAAATTTGTTTTTGTGTTATTAATGTGATATATTTAGAACTGCTATGTTTATATATATATTTTTCAAACGTAACAATTTTTTATAGTTACATTAAGTTTCAGTTTATTTTTAATACATTTTCCCAAAACTTTTTTTCTACAGGTGACAATATTTTGACTGCTCTGAGTGTAGCGAAAGACTGTGATATTGTGACAGCAAATCAGTCCATAATTAGTGTCAATTGTGATGATAACGAACCACCTAACCTCTATTATACCCTCACCAGTACAAAAGCTATGCCTTCAGATGTGAGTATTCTGACGAATTCTGCGAGCGCCGTGAGTTTAGAAACCATTGAGAGTCAAGTTCATACGCTGACAAATGATGTTTCTCAAACTGGATGTAGCAGGCCTAGTATGCTGTTGAATAATTATCGATTTGCCATGACTGGGAAGGTATGGGAAGTAATCAAAGAACATTATCCTGATTTATTACCTAGGATTTGTACTAGAGGTAAAATATAACCAGTGCAGTTGAAGTAATAATGTCAATCATGCTTTCATTATTTTAGGTACTATTTTTGCCAGGATGGCTCCCGAACAGAAGCAGCAACTTGTACAGGAACTTCAAGGTTTAGGTTATTGTGTTGGTAAGTAAATCAGAAATTATTTTGATAAATTAGTAGATTCTATAAGTAGTTTTCGTACTCCGACAAGAATATCTTTACAATTAAAAAATCTCACTTCATAGTTTACAGTGTTTTAGGTTTTTTATTCTGCACCTCGGAACCTCTGACAGGTTCTTTTCACCTTCAAGCAAACCTCTGTCATGGTTTTGAACCCCTCCCAACAAAAATTGAGGTGAATTCAGAATAAAATTTCATTCAGTCCTATGCCACACCTATGGTAGGAATCCATTAATTCGATTCATAACATTCACACATAATCATAATTCACAATCAAAGCTCCATAATATTAAGTAAAAGAAATAGCAGATAAATGTTTTCACCAAAAACTGCACAAAAAATCGAGCTATCGAAATTCAGCACCAGAGAAACATCGAAATGTTAAAATGTTACAGAGAGTAGAAATAAAAATGAAAATTCTACCCATCAGTTTACAGGAACTTGATTGTTGCTTTGTGCAAGGCATTTCAAATAATGAATTTATTTTTATGGTCTGATCTCTTGTTATATTTTATGGAAAAAAGTCTTATGAACCTGTTTTAATTTCCTCCGCTTCTATTGATACAGAGTGCTGAAGAATAAAAAATAAGAAACAGAATTGAAAGAACCTGGTGTGATTATTTCAACGCTGTTTTTCAAGTATTGACAAAATTTGAGGAAATTCAATGCATTTTCAGTTTTATGGCTAATGGGTGTGCAAAAATTGCATTATCTTTCTCGCCAACTTAACACTTCAGATCAGAAAGCTGTATTTTTAACTGTTTGATGACAATATTGAGGTTAGAAATGAATTAGTGGTACAACATGATTCTCAACTTACATATCATCCAGGTGATGCAACAGGAAAATGAATATTTCAAATCCATCAAAAGAAGCTTCATATCACCTTTTGGGTGTTGAAGGTGTGTTATCTAAAGAGCAGTTGAACGTTACCAAAATTGTATTGACATTTTGAAGGGTGAGATTGGTATAACACTAGTATCTAATTTTGCTGATATCAGAACTGATGAATTTTTGAAAATCACTTGATGTTTTGTTGGATGGCAGTTTTGCGTTGTATATAAATTTCTTTTATATATTGATGGATTCAAAATAAATAATATCCAAGAAAATTTTTAACTTGGAACAGAGCCTTGTAGTGCCTCATTATTTCAGGTAATGGTGAGTACAATATAGGGAAGCAATATATTCAAAATATTCATAATCATTTGTTTGTTACCTATGTTATTGAAAATTAATTCGAAGTTTGTTTTACAGCTATGTGTGGAGATGGGGCCAATGACTGTGGAGCCCTCAAAGCAGCTCATACAGGAATTTCTCTGTCAGATGCGGAATCATCGGTGGCTTCTCCATTCACATCTAGAAATCCCAACATAGATTGTGTTATACAAGTGATAAAAGAAGGCAGAGCAGCATTAATCACAAGTTTTGGCATATTCAAATACATGGCCTCTTATTCTATGTGTCAGTTTGTGACAGTACTCCACTTGTACAGTATTGAGTCTAACCTTACCGATTTTGAGTTTCTCTATATTGATTTGGCAATGATTTCAGTGTTTGCTTTCTGCTTTGGCAGAACTGAAACTTATCCTGGAAAATTGGTAAAAGAAACTCCACTTAGTAGTTTGGTCAGCTTGACTCCAATGCTTAGCATGATCCTCCAATCTATTCTTGTTGTTTTTTTCCAAGAGGCAGCATTACAACATTTGAAATCAGAACCTTGGTATGTGCCTCTAAATACTACTAAGGATGAAGAAGTAGCTTGTGTAGAAAATTACACTCTTTTTACTATCTCAAGTTTCCAGTACATTATTTTAGTTATAGTATTTTCTAAAGGTTACCCATACCGTAAAAGTATTTTTTCCAACTGGGGGTTTTTGACAAGCATTCTTATCATGACAAGTGTTTCGGTTTATTTAACCTTATTTCCGGTAGATTTTTTAATAAGATTATTTGAGTTGGTTCTACCGGAGGACTTTAATTTCAGATTATATCTTTTGGGCTATGCAGGTGCACATTTTATTTTAGCGTTATTGGTGGAGTATTTGATAGTTGATGAGATATTTTTTAAACGTTTACGTTTCAAATTCCATAATTTGGACAAATCCAGAAGAAAATATTTGGCTATTGAACGAGATTTGAATCGAGACAGAAAATGGCCAGTATTAACTTCTGATTTTCAGTCTGCTGCTAGTCCTTCAAGCCCTGAGCCAGTTTTCAATGCTGAAATTGTTATTGAGAAAGAAAAGTTTACCAAAGATCATGTTTTAAATAAACTGTATGAGGCTTCAGAAAATCCATTTGAAAATCCACTTAATAGTGAGAGTTCAAAAATCACTGGGTGTTCAGAAAACATTACTCATTCACCAAGAAATGTTGCAGAGTTTCAAGTAAATGGGGTGGTAGGCCTAGGAAATGCCTGTGCCACTGGTTACTTCAGCCAAGAAGACCTACTGTTTTCTAGTCTTCCTTCCGATACTCAAACTAGTCCTAGTGATACTTTCAAAAGTTTGAGCAATAACACCAATACAAACTATGATTTAACTAATTCAAATGCCAATATACCTGAATTACCATTTGATGAGAAGACTGCTTCCCCTAAAAATACCCAATCTGCTTCTGAAAAAATGGGTTTTGGCATAGTATTTCAAAATATTTCAGAAAAGAGCCCTCAAAGAAACATTCAATTACTCAAATCAATGAAAATTCAGAATTCGCCAATTGGAACACCTAATAAAGATGTCGGTAATTTCAATTCATTTGGAAGAAGTCCTCCACAAACTCAAGTTATACCCAAACCTTTAGAAATGAATAACTTTGAAATGAATAGTTGAGAAAAGTTATTAGTCATATCATCCATTGAAATTATTTCAATTGATAGGTGACGTTTGAGAAATTTTATTTGAATTTTAACTTTTTTGATATGAACATGTCGGTATTAAAATAATAATGATGTGTTTGAAAGGACTTTGTAATGAAGATATAATTTGACTTTAGTGATTGATATTTAGGAAGTTTATGTGATAAAAGAACACTATAGTGAAACTGTGTAATTTTAAGATGTCTAATGATTTTTTTTATTTATTTGAAATTCAGTTATATTACTAAAATATTATTTCATTTGGTTCTATATCCCAAATAATTTCTCCAGTCTTCCCTCATTCATGTTTCATATCATATTTACTGCTCAGTACTTAGTGATTGTAAAGAGAAATGAAAACTGATCAACCTTCAAATATGAACGAGTGTATTCCTCAGATAAAAATGGTTCAGCGTAACACTGATTTTAGTGAGATTTAGACATTTCTGTAGTATTTTGATAGTTGTCTGAAAAAAAAAAAGTATTATACATTTAGGATAGTGAAATTGAATGTAAAAAATCTATATTATTAGAAAGAAAATGTTCGCTGTATAGTTTAATCATAGCCATCTCCAGTAACAAACCAAGATGATAGAAGTGGCAACGCTGTTCATAATCCTGAGTTGTGAAATAATGGTTAATTTCTATATTACCTACATTAGATAATGTTTCCTACTGCCATCTATAGGAACAGCCGTTTACATCGACGGAAGCGGAGCCCATTTTGTACACATTTTTTTATTTATTATATTGTGTAAATGCCTACCATCCGAAGTACATACATCGTATTCTTATACAGTATCTCGATGGGTGGAATTTACAAACTCTGGCGTGAAGTTGAAGGACTCTCTACTTACGAATGTGCGGTGTTGTCAATTGTGTCATCATAGCTTGTGACTGCAGTTTTTCAATATAACTACCCTAAAATGAATAACTAATACATACATTAATTTTAAATAACTCATGTTTTGGTACATCTGAATGGCTTTACGTTTGATTAATTTACGAATACGAATTTTTGTTCCTCGGAAAGTTGTTTTTTGTTATTTTTTGCGGTTTACGTAATTAATTTTATTGATTAATTTTATAGGAATAATCATTACCATTATAGTATATGACGTGATGCATTTTATCATCATTTAATTCATTAGGGCTAAAAAGTGTATAATTTTGTCATTGAAATATTGTTACTTAATTGTTGATACTTTTTTGTTCAACTTTTATTTAGAGCTATCTACACCAAATTCATTTAAATCATATATAATTACACAATAAAGGAAATTTTCACATGAAAGGTCATTTCATTTAGATGGAAAAAATATTATACTTCAATCTCCATAAATAATATTATTCTGCAATTTGACAGATATTCCAAAATGTGCATTGTAAAAAAAGTATCCAATTTAATTGTATTTGTGGCTCAATTCTTAAATGTGTATTGTAAAAAAGTATCCAATTTAATTGTATTTATGGCTCATTATTTTGCATATAGTGGCTACCACATAACAGGTAGATATATGCTATCACGGGCTTTTATCTAGAACTATTCAAGATAGACAATCTTACAGTATATTATCTGCATGTAACTCCAGCGTAAAAGCAGCGCACGCCAAGATAGCTCTCAGGAACCAAGAATTTTTTTGACTTACTAATACTTATCATTATATTATTACCAACATTACACAAAACCTTTGTAAATTGTAGCCTATATGTTATTCCGATATATAAGCTGTTTTTATGTTAAGTTTCATCTGAATCCGTTTAGGCGTGAAAGAGCCACAAACATACATCCATCGTCACAAACTGTCACATTTATAATAGTATATAGATTTTTGGGAAAGAAAGTTTTTGGCTTTCTATTACTCCATCTTGATACAAAAAAAGGGATGAGGAAATCTTCTAAAGAAAGGAAGGAAGTAATCAATTTGAAAATCCACTTAATAGTGATAGTTCAAAAATCACTGGGTGTTCAGATAACATTAAATGTTTCGCCTTAAGACACTTGCCCCAAGGCTCTTCAGTACCAAATTGGATAACATTATAGAAAATACACACAATTCATTCATGAATTACGATTTTTAATGTCACGGAATAAGCTTGATCTGCTTATGTCATCGATGACATCGTAATGACATTCATTCCACCTATTTGATTTAATCCCAGCCAAGAGGAAACTTATTTGAATTGGAGGGGTTATATTTTTAGGAGTGATTAATTTTTGGGAAAGAAAGTTTTTGGCTTTCTACTACTCCATCTTGATAAAAAAAAAGGATGAGGGAATCTTCAAAAGATAGGAAGGAAGTAATCAATTTGAAAATAAGTTTAAAAATCTGTTTAAAATCTGTTTTTCCGTTAACCAGCTGTCGCACCCCTACGCGACAACCCTCAGAAGTCGAAACTTCTGCGAGCCAAGGATTAACGAGGTCTTACCTTTTAACGTGTAATTCCTAACACGGGTTGGACGATAGCAAATGAAGATCGATCGTTCAGACTAGGGCTTGAACCACCGACCAACACGACCGCTTGGCTACCGACCGACGAGTAACTCTATACATGTCTTAAAGCGAAACATCGATGTATACCAGTGAAAATGTCAGTGTTCCATGTGAGTGCAATTTGTTACCATTCATTTAAAGTAGAACTCATGTGAATGATATCTGATTTTTATTCCACAATGAATGTTTGAAATACAAACCGAGTAGAGAAAAGTATCTTCTGTATAATTCAGTGTTCATATAGAAGTATTTGTTTCGATTTTTTTTTCGTGTAATTCAATGTTTATATTCTTCAGCTTGTGTCTGAAAGTTACTTTTTTGCATGATCTACACATCCATATATAGAGTTACTTATTTTCAAATTGATTACTTCCTTCCTTTCTTTGGAAGATTCCCTCATCCTTTTTTTGTATCAAGATGGAGTATCAGAAAGCCAAAAACTTACTTTCCCAAAAATTAATCACTCCTAAAAGTATAACCCCTCCAATTCAGTATATAGATATACATTAGATTCAGTTTTAGCTGTATGCTCCTTCCATTTTGTGTTTTATTGTTAAAACTAATTTTTTTTATTATTCACTGATTCTCGTCGAAATAACTGCAGATATAAAAAATGACCAATGACGAAATTTGTTTTAACAAATAAATCTGTCGTTTTTTTCATAAACTATAGTTTGAAAACTATTTGAGAAAAACTGGAGATATTTAGTTTCCGTTCAAATCCCTTGGAAATGTGTGGGATTATCAAAAAGTGTAAGGCATGTGTAATATTTACAAACCCAAGAGTAATATTTGCTCATTAACGTGATCATAGCAAAGAGTAGAGTTCTAATATTTGGTCGTGGTATTCATAGTAGTATCTAACAATAATTTAAAACAAATTTTCATATCGCACTATTCAATCTATAACTTAGTTCATAGTACTCATAATTGACAATAAATTGAATAGTTTAAAAATATTACCGTAAAGAAAGGTTTTCCCTTTCTATTTCTCCATCTTCATACAAAAAAAAAATGGAAAACTTCCAAAGGAAGAAAGCATAAATTTTAAAATGAAGTCGTTATGATATGAATGGTTTGAATGCTGGTAAAAATTGAAAATTGGTTCATGTTCATTCGTAGTGTATATTTTGAAAAACAGTTGTTTCGAAGAAGTTTGAAGCTTTTCAACTTCTATACAGTCTCCTGTAAGCCAGAGAGGCTTGTTAACAAAATTTTAGATATTTAGACTTGGTGTAATGATATTTACCTGTAGTCATATCCTCTTTATGGTGGATAGGCATCAAATTTCTTTACAGAAAGAAATTAATAAGTTCGTAATAACTTATATAGTAACAATGAAGTTCAATAAAAAAAATTGAAATCATGGGTATTAGAAATATGTTCAGAACTTTTACCAGTTAATTAATTGGAAAATAAAATAGAGCAAATAATTTTTCAAATTTATTTTATTACTATCCATGATCATATAGAATTTTCACAATAAATTTTATTTAAGATGCGTTTCACTATACGGTAGCTTCATAAGTTGAACACCAGTCTAACTGATGAAGCTACTATATAGCGAAACGCATCTTAAATAAAATTTATTTTTAATTTCAGTAAATCATATTTCCTAATTGTATTAAGATTGTGTTGTATAATATGATTCCAGCAAAATAAATGGTGTACTTTCCTATATCTAAATTATTAACATTACAAGTTAATCAAAGACTGTAAACTTTCACAGGTGTCAAAGCTACTTACCGGGTTTATCAGCCAAAATAATTATTCCATAAGAAATGTATTTAAGAAAATATTATCATTATGTGATCACCAATATTGTTGTTCAATTTAGTTAATCTGTTTTAAAAGTTTATATGATAATGCATTTGAGTTGTCTGTTAAAGCAATATTAATTTAGTACAATGTTGAATTTTGTAGATTGCTTCATTATTTCATGGTGATGATTGACTGTATTGCCAAACATGCGCCAAACTAACTGACTTTTATAAGTAAACAAGTATAGCTGAGGCACCAGTCAATCTAACATGACACAATCTCTGACGTAAGCACCAAACTCTTACGAAGGTTCGAAATAGATGAACACTTCAATCTAGCAGACCACTATTATAATATTCATGCAGTCATTGTTCACTGTGGTTCTGGCGTTGCATTTGGTCATTATTACGCCTTGGTAAAATTCAAAATAATTATTTTATTTTTCAGTGTTGGAAATATTAAATTTCTTGTTTAGTTTGAAACTCCTTCAGCATAAATTAAACTAATCTGACTTATTTATCAAATAGTAATGCTTCTCTTAATAAATGTTCATTCGCCATTATCAGCAAACACTAGAGTAAAAGCAATACCTACTTGTAGATTACAGTGTGGTTTAGTAAATATTTTTATTCACTGGTCCTTGAAAACAATTGAATCAGTCATTTGAGAAACCTCTCTTGTCAAATGGAAATTGATTTTTTGTTTTTTCAATTATTTTGTATAATGTTCTGTCTCAAGAAAGCCTTGCAAACCTGATATGTTCAAGTTTTAGTTTGCGGACAAGTGGGGTTTCTCGAACGACTGATTCAGTTAAAAATACCACAATCAACTGCCATCCTGAACAAATATAACTCACAAACCATATTTTGTCCTAATTAAAAGGTACTGATGGGAAATGAAATGTTTGTCACCGAAAGAAATCCATTTGCTACATTTGGAAACTGTTAACAACAAACAAGCTATTTATCATCAACTTCATTTTGTTTATTTGCTAGTTTCAAGGAAGTTGTATTATTGGCAGTAAACAAAATATTTACCTTTCCTTCATTTCAATATACTTTTTATTTATTTAAAATCAACAGACATATCACATGACAATGAATGACATGTATACAATTTTACAATGGTGATATTGGATTACTTCTTTGTTAGAAAAAATTTGAACACTACTTGATAATTGATAGATGACATCAACAAAAATGTTTGCCACACACCAGAACTGTGATATTTTTTCTACCAATCAGGTTGCCATANTGATTGATAGATGACATCAACAAAAATGTTTGCCACACACCAGAACTGTGATATTTTTCCTACCAATCAGGTTGCCACAGTTCTGATGTGTGGAAAAGTTTTTGTTGAATACTGCAAGGTCTGTTACTTTAAACAGTTAGTAATAAGTTGTGTTATTGTGATATCTGATACTTTTTTATTCTTTAGTATTATGGTAGTATGTCATAAAACATCATTGCTTATATCTGCAGTACATTTTAATTTGACTTTGAAATTTTTGGGAAATATATTGAATTAAAGCTATAAAGAGGTAGAAAGGCATGATTTCAACCCAGAGTTTTGTTCAAAGAATAATCCAATACTCCTATATACAGATTCACAATATTGTGAATTCTTCAAATCAATGTCGCAATATATTTACTTGGGAAAAGTTTTGGTATACATTTACAAAAATAGTGTCCTATAATTCAAGTATAGTTCATGTGGTTAAACCTCGAGACTTTCGTTTAATCCTGGCATAAGGTCCAACATCTGGGTCCATTACAAAGTCATACAGGACAGCTGTCCAACTATGATGCTGTGGCAGACCATCATAAAATTCTGGTGCTATCTTCTTCACCTAAAATAAGATATTTATGCAACCAATTTATCTAATGATCCACAAAGAGTTCCTCTTATAGAGAAAAAATCAATAATCAAACACAAATATTTTATTTTACATCAAGTAACATAACTGCATTAGTAGCAGCCCATTGAAACTAAAGGATGAATGACTGCATGACGATAAATGAACATTGAACAGTTT